GGGAGCTGCGTATAGACACAGGGGCTCCTCTGACCCCCATCTCACCACCAGCAGGATGGGATGATGTCACTGACCCACATCAGCCCCCAGTCTTACTGTCATAAACAGGGGTTTCATCAGTTGGGTCTCAGTGCTGAGTATCGCTGGGAGGCTAGCACACGTGAGGAAACACTGCTGCGGCCTTTATTAGCGCCTTGCCTCCGAGACAAGTGGCATGTGCTCTTCCAACAGCGAAAATAGACCTTAAGTGTCCATCAATCTGTAGATGATCTGAGGTGTCTAACCATTAGGGGACAGCGGATCCAGCTAGCAGTGCTGCCATTAAAAGACCCAAAGGAAGTAGTCACTCAACTGTACATGAACAAGAGAAAACCGTGGAGTGGGCCCCAGACACATAAATCCTTGGAGACTAAAAATACCCAAAGTATAACTGGAGGCTCAATAGGAAGAAACTGTCCTGAACACTTGGTAAATCAGGAATTCCAAAAAGAGCGGGGAGAGTAGAGACCTCAACGGATCAGTTCTCAGGAGTCCAAGTCAGGCACAGAACCAATGGTGAACGCTTGCCTAGAAATGTGAGGCCTTGGTTTCAAACCTCAGCACAGGGTTGGGGAGTAGGTGCTGGTCTGGGTGTGCAACTCAGTGGAGTGATGTGTGTGTAGGGGGAATAGGTGCTGGCCTGGGTGTGCAACTCAGAGGAGTGATGTGTATATGTGTGTGTGTGTGTGTGTGTGTGTGTGTGTGTGCACATGTGTGTATGTGTGGGAATAGGTGCTGGCCTGGGTGTGCAGCTCAGAGATATGATGTGTGTGTGTGTGTGTGTGTGTGTGTGTGTGTAAGTGTTGCCCTGGGTGTGCAACTCAGATGTGTGATGCATGGGTGTGAGGGAGTGAGTACTGGCCTGGGGGTGCAACTCAGATGTGTGGGGTATGTGTATGTGTGTGTGTGTGTGTGTGTGTGTGTGTGTGTGTGTGAATAGGTGCTTGCCTGGGTGTGCAACTCAGATGTATGATGCGTGTGTAAGGGAGTAGGTACTAGGTCTGAGTGTACAGCTATGCGATATACGTGTGAGGGAGTGCTATGTCTGGGTGTGCATCTGAGTTTTGTTTCGTGTGGGGGTTAGCAGGTGCCAGGGCAGGGTGTGTGGCTTGGATGTGCAGACTTCCCACAGCTCTCCTGTCCTCGCAGAGTCTACGTCTTCCTCAGTACAGTACCCGCCTCAGCGATTGCTGCGATTTAGCTTTGTATTTATACAAGAAAAGGACACCCAGGAAAAGGTAATAGGACCTGGCCAGCTAACCAGACCCCCGCCCTGTGCAGGAAATGATTTGACAGTGTTCTTGGCTAGGGGGAGCCAGGAATGCAAGCTCTCACCCACTGCCTCAACTGCTGCCGATGCCTTCCAAGACCACAGCTGACCAGACAGACAGCCCTGCTAGTCCTAAAGTCCTGGCTAAATAATGACACAGACCCATGGAATGCCCTCCCTGAAGAAGAGCAAATCTTCTCTTCAGTGAGAGAAAACAAAACGAAGTCCCTGGAGTGAAAAACCATGATCTCTAGTGTCTTTGGCTAGCAGATGCCCAGTGGGGTAAGCTTCCAGATGTAGCTATTATCAACAGCAATTTCTCTTGCATCGTTCTGAACCTAGAATGTTTCTTTCAAACAAGAGCATGCGTTTGCTTTTGCACAGCACAGGAATTCAGACTGGTCTGGCTTGGAAATTTCACTGACAGGGCTACATATCTTCCACAGAGTCAGACACAGCTCTTCTGTGTAGCCAGCAGTGACATAATCGAAACCAGGCTCACATTTATTTAAGTAGCGTGGTTCTGATAGAATGAAAATATTTTAGTTAGCGGGACTACACTTTGTGTGGGGGGAATTTACAGATGTCTCCCCTGCTCCACTGATTCCTCACTTACCTACAGGAGCACTGTTTGGGGTGGGGGAAGGAGGGGGAGAGGGAGTGAGTGAGTGAGTGAGTGAGAGGGAGGGAGGTAAGGAGAGAGAGAGAGAGAGAGAGAGAGAGAGAGAGAGAGAGAGAGAGAGA